GAGGGGAAGGGGGGAGGGAGGAGGGTGAAAGGGATAATTCGGCACATGTGTGTGGTGATGGGTTGTAATTAGTATTTGGGTGGTGAACATGATGTAATCCATGCAGAAATAGAAGTAGAATGATGTACAACTGAAATTTATACAATGTTATAAACCAATGTTACCGCAATAAACAAAAAATTAAAAAAAAAAATGTGAGCATCACTACACTTGCGCTGTGGGGCCATTATTAAGTAAAATAAGGGTTACTTGAACACAAGCACTGCAATACTGGGACAATCGATCTGATAACCAGGATGGCTACTACGTGACTAAGGGGCAGGCAGTGTATACGTGGATCTGCTGGACAAAGCAATGATTCATGTCCTGGGTGGGACAGAGTGGGACTGCACAAGATTTCTTATTGCTACTCGCAATTTAAAACTTACGAATTGTTTATTTTTGGAATTTTCCATTTAATATTTTCGGACCACAGTTGACCACAGGTAACTGAAGCCTCGGAAAGCAAAACTGCGGATAAGGGGGGACTACTGTACCATGTTTCTCCTTACCTTTTTAATGCTATAGAAGGCTTTCAAGAAAAGTCAAAGAGGGAAGCTAGTGGGTAGGAGACCGGGGAATTTTCAGACTCACATGATCTACGTTAGGATCCTATGTGGGCTTGGTATAGTGCCAATAATCACTTATTATTATTTATAAATCAGCTCCTTTTACAAATGAGGAATCTAACAACTGAGACCAGCTCCCAGGCATCCTGACTTAACTTCTTTCTATAGCTATTATGTGGCTTCCTTTGTGAAAGTTTTTATGTGTGCATTTAACATCATTTAATCTAAGATAGCTATATTCCTAACTCTTGATAGGTCTGTCAGTTGCCTCAAGGGAAACCAACCCAGCTAGATTTTAATCTCTGAATTGCGGCCTCAGCTATAAAAGTCTTAGCTGAGGTTTTAATGGCCCAGATTTAAGCAAATTTAGCAGATACACCAGTAGGTGTTCCAATCACATACACCATTTAAGGGCTTTGCGTGAGGATTTAAAAAAAAAATTACTATTAAAAAAAAACAACATAGTCCATGTGCAGTACAATTTACCAGCAGGAAAGATTTCAGTGTCCTGGAAAAGTTTCATATAAAAAGGAAGGTAGGAAAATGTAAAATCACAGTACTCAACATACTCCAAACGAACCTTGGGATTCTTTTGGCTCTTTGCCCTCGAACAGGTAAAATGCTTTGTATTTCTAGCACTTTTTTTAGACCACATGCTATTGTCTGTCTATAGGGCATTTTAAACCCTAAGGGCTAAATCCAGGTGTGACTGTGTCTAAAGAAACATTGACCTTCATGGTCCTTGTCCAGGCTTTGGGGAATTTCAACAGCTCATCAACCAGTATTTGATTTTGTCTTTAGCTTCTTCCCCATCAAATGAAAATTAATTTGAAGACTCCTTTTTGTACGAATTCCACATGTCATTAGATAGTTTGAAGCTGCCTTGGCCAGGGAGGCATCTGGTCTGGGACTCGGTGCTTTGAAAAGTGTTGGGTCCCCTCTCACTCTCACAGATGGTGCAGCCAGCAGTAACACATGGAAGACTAGAGGACGCTTACTCGGCAAAATGTCATTAATACCATAGTGCAGCCATTTAATGTCAACCAACTTTATATCAGCCAGAGATTCCTAGCAGGAGCTGCTTTTCGGAGCAGATGGCCCAATTCTCTTAATCCTAGGAATTGATATAGCTGAAAACCAATCCACGGGGGGAAAGTGTTAAGGCAAAAATGTGAACTTGATAAGGGAGGAATAGTGGGGTTTGGATAACCAAATAAATAAGAAAAGTAAAAACAGAGTAGCTTAGTACTAAAAAGTACTGAGCATGTGAATTTAAAGTACTGATTTGGTCCCCAGTGGCTACTGGAAACTCAAGGCAAGCAAGCGGGTATGTGCATTTTAGTCTGTGTGTGTGAAAACTGTCGATGACTGCTACTTCCATCTTCTGCAGGGTTAGCGATACAGATGCTAGGTTTTTCACCCAAGAGGTCTTTCTTTACTTTTTGCTCAAGCCAGCCTTGGGTCTGTTTTGACTGTTGCATTGATGTTCCTTAGAATGGAGCCGAATCCAAAACTTCTAGCTGGACTTATTCTGCTGACTTTATGTGTGGTGGGCTGCTCCAGCCAACACTGGTCCCATGGCTTGCGCCCTGGAGGAAAGAGAAATGCTGAAAATTTGATTGATTCTTTCCAAGAGGTAAGTCTCTCTCATCTTCAAAATAGGACGTGGCTTACGTGATTCAATTTAACTGTACTAACATTCCGTGTGCGCCCCAGCAGTGCGACTCCAGGCTCTATCTACCCTAGGTATGCGGGGGGGAGATAACACACTTACAAAGTCAAGTCCCATTCCTGCTTTCAAATCAGTCAAGGACTAACGAAACAAAGAGCAGGAATAATTCCAAGAGAATACAGCAACAAGTGCAACGTGGCGTGTTTTACTCTGAATATATAGAATAGCCAAAGGAATTAGAAACAATGGGATGGTGCCAAGGTCTCTAGTACAAGATGATTCTTTGGGATTTGGAAAGAAAATCTTAGAACTTCTGGTTATGTTTTTTTTCCCTTATTTTATCTTTTAAAAATATCCATGATATTAGGTCAGTGGTACATTTTTATAACTTATAAATAAGTATCCTTATCAAGCCTGCATACTGTATAATTTCTTTTTACTGATATGCCATTTAAACAGAGGTTGGAGGCTGCTAGAGTGGAGGAGTTAGCAAGCTCAAGGAGACAAACTATATAACGGAAAATACACTGGATTTGATTTCCTATGAATTAGATTTCAGTACTAGTACCAGCACTAACATAGAGTACTTGTTTTTTTATCTGTAAAATGCGACTTCCTAAAGTCATGTGAAGACTACAGGAGAGAGGCTTTATGTGTTAGCTGATTAATCCAAAAAATGTTAGTGGATTAATAAAACAACAGTTGTTATTGTTTTTTAAGTTAATGGGAAAGGAACTAGGCCTAAAGGATGAGTGATTCAGGGCTGGGACACTTAATATAGGGCTGAGAATGGGAAACCTAGCTAGAGAAACTTAAATCCATTTAGTTTTCATTGGGAAAAAATATCTCTTTTTGGAGAAATAATAAAGATAATTTAGTATGAAATAAAGAAGCCCAGAATCTGAAGTCTCCTCTCCACATATTACATGTGAAGCAACTCTCATTTAACTATGACATATTTGGTAAAAACTAGAAAAAAAATATCAACCCTATTCATAACTATAAGCTCTTGTGTTTTTTTATATCATCCCCTCAGGAGGTTCAAAGTACTTCATTCTCATCATCTCTAGGGAGAAAATATTCTCTCTCCTTACTATCACCATTACCTCAGAACCCCACACCAACCTGTAAAAATGCCTGAAGGTAGATCTATGTTCTTCAAGGCCCCATCCCAATCCCAGCTTCCACAATCCCCTTGACCTCACTTTCCACAGACAATTTTTGGTGGGAATGGAAAATACCATTTCATTTATCTCCATCTCCAAAAATCACATTTTTCCCCCTCAGATAGCCAAGGAGGTTAATCAACTGGCAGAACCTCAAAGCTTCAAATGCACCGTTCACCAGCCCGGTTCTCCTCTCAGGGACCTGAAAGGCACTCTGGTGAGTTACAGTGATAATAACATGGGGCCTTAGAGATGGAAAGGTCCTTGGGTACCACCTCTTAGGTTGTCCACTTAGGACGACCACGTATCAGCCACCGTGGGGCTGACCTTCCTGATTGCCTGAATTTTCCTGTGGTAGGGCCCTCATTGTTTCATGACCCCCTCCTTTCAGTGGTTAGACAGTATTAATGATTGGAACCTTTTTTTCTTAAATTGAACTGAAATCTCTGGGTAACCTTTATCTCCTCATCTTGGCTCTGGCCTTCGGGATGAATGACAAAACAAATTTCTTCTCATGGCTACCTGTCAGTTCTTCACATACATTCATCAAACCCCAGATTATTCTAGTCTAGGCTAATCCACACCTCTCCACTGGAGTCCTCAATTGTTCTTGGTATGACATGGTTCTCCCTGGGAAATGTAAAAATCAAAAATGGTGCTGTAGCTTGTTTTTTTTTTCTCTTTTGAATAAAAAATTCCAATTTAGTAACTTTATAATTCAGAGCCACATATTTGATTTCCAGTTCTCTGATTGGACTATAACAATCTCCAAATTCCTGCCCAAAATGGAAATCTAAACTAATACAGGTTTTTGATTAAAAAAAAAGTATAAAGAGAATTGAATGTAGAAATTGAATCTTGAATTCAGTGTTGCTGCTCTCTGAAATACATGGTCCACTTATCTGCAGCAGTTAGAAGGCATCACAGTTAATTATCAGTCATGCCCAGGAGCGGGGAAAGCCCTAATAAATCATATATGAAGAAAAGCTCTAGTTTTCATTTTCTCCATTGACCTTAACTTCCACACCCATAGGACAAAGAGAAAAAGCAGATAGACATCTTTATTTCCTTTCTTTTTCTAATCTTGCTTACCACATGATAAAAATAATAGCAAGCAGTGAAATCTCCCAAACATGACATTAGAAAGAAGGAATTGAGGCAAAAGCTGGGTTAATAGCAAACTGATAGATCAGATCTTTCTTTTACCTCCTTCCTCACACACTATCCTTAAACTATTAACATAGATTTTATGTTTATTAATTAAACAACTTAAAATGAACTGATCTGTTGTATCTCTCTAGCACTTTCTAGTGCACAAAAATAAATGAATCTATTCTACAGATATTTTAGAAATTAAAATATCAAAAACATAATGAAATTCAGATAGATAGTAAAATCAACCTTGATATATCTGTTACTCACATATTTTTCAGGAAAGTCTGATCGAAGAAGAAACTGGGCAGAAGAAGATTTAAATCCACTGGGCCAGAAGGAGTGACAACACTTCAGCATAATTCTGACATTGAAAATTGTGTGAATTTCAGAAATTCTTATGTTAAGTTGCATGTATTTCATAACAAAGTACTGTGTTGTGAATAAAGTGGCATGAACGTTAAGTCTTTCTCTAACTCAGAACTCTGGTAGGGGGCCGGCCCTGTGGCTTAGCGGTTAAGTGCGCGTGCTCCGCCGCTGGTGGCCCGGTTTCGGATCCCGGGCGTGCACCGACGCACCGCTATGCTGAGGCCGCATCCCACATACAGCAACTAGAAGGATGTGCAGCTATGACATACAACTATCTACTGGGGCTTTGGGGGGAAAAAATAAATAAATAAAATTATTTTAAAAAAAAAGAACTCTGGTGGGGGAGGGGCATTGTAAGCCCACAAAAGGGAGAACTCCAAGTTTGTCTATAGGGGGCAGATGAAAGGAGAGATAACATGAAGTCAACATTATTGTTGATTAAAGGAATCTCATGGCTCTCCTCCACCACCACCCTGCCCCACAAGAACAGTCATCTATTGGTCTGGGCCAAAAACGCTGCTTCAGTAGTGTTCTGTGGGATTATAGCTTTATCTTTGACCATACTCTATAGAAGCAAGATTAGGCCATGGCCAAGGCTCCCTCTCACTTGGACAGAAGTTCTCTTCCCAGATTGTCTCCAATCCCTTTGAAAGTCAACTGGAACCAGAGAGAGACCGGCTCCTCCTCCTTAAGGGAAAGGAGGCCTTGCTGGGCTCCTGGTATAATGCTCCTTCTGGCCTCATGTGGTCTCTCTGAGTTCACCAGAGCAAGTGGTGCATATTGAGGTTTGGGACCAAAGCCTAAAAATAATAGTGTTCACCTGCCTGATCTTTTTGGTATTTCTCTTGAGAAATGCTGTGGAGTGTAGAGTCAGTTGAAGATAGGATTCAGGTGCTCCTGTGTTCCCTGGTCAAATAGCATGGCCACTATTCATCCTCCACAAAGACCAGTGTCAGGCTTTGTGCTAGATAGAAGCATAAATGTTTTCATTCACCCTTATAACAACCTTGGAAAGTAGATACTGTTGTCCTCCCTTTAGAATGAGGAAATTGGGGCTCCAAGAGTTGAAGAGCCTCGCTCAGTTCTGTCGAGTTCCGTGGTCAGTGTCCCTGAATTGCACTATGTTGAGCAGCCAACGGAATTGGACTTGAAAACTCTGTTATTTTGTTAGTTGGAGCTGCGACAGGATACTGGGGCTCACGTATCAACTTAGTTTACTGGTGACCATTTCTCTACAAGGTCCCAGACATTATGACACTAACTAACATTCTCATTTATCCTCATAACTTTCAACTGACTATGAGACCATTAGAAAAACTCAAATTTCAGATAACTTGCCCGATATCACAGCAATAAATTGTGCCTATATTCACATGGCAAAGATCTAGGCCCTCTACCTCTTTTAATCAGACAGATGGAACCTTCCTCCTCCTCTCCATGCCCCTCCACCTCAAAAAAGGGCAAGACCTGTGCTAAGGAATTTGAACAGGGGTCAGGAACAGGCCATGGGGGAAAAAATCCTCCCCTTTTAATACAAATATTTACTACTGCACAATGCTAGATTTCCCAAACATCTCTAGTGGAAGAATCTCTAAAACTGAATCAAAGAGCTTCCTCACTCCCATTTTAATAAAATTAGGCAGAGATGTGGTCCATAATTTACTTTATGGAACAAAAGGCAAAACTACATTATATCATTAATTGATACATACAAGCCAGGATGAGAAGCTTCTACTTGTCAGTAATTCAGTAACTATTCATTTTTTTTTAATAAAAACAATATCATTTACAATCTTTACGTTAGTCAACACATTAAAAAAAAGAAGGCAACACATCCACTTATTTTATACATTCTGTTTGGAGTCTCAGGTTTCCTTCGCCAAACCTTGCCTTTGGGATGATTTCTTTGGAGCCAGCTGTCAGCCTCCCCGAATGGCATACAAAGAAGATGCTCATCCAGCTACCCAATGCTGATGTTAGAGGCCTTGGATGGCATCCAGTAATTTGTGACTTACGTGAACGTGTTGGGTAATTGATTCTCAAAAGACCCAAATGACTAAGGAGAAGGAGAGTGAAAATGACTCCTTTATTAAAACTTTAAAAATCTTCCTGAATCTTGAGAACTCTTTAACTCATCAATGTAGCTTCAAAAGAGTCTGCAGCCTTTCAAAATAAAGGGGGGGGAAACATACCAAATGATACATTTAATGAGATGTTCTCAATATATATGGCTTTAAATATCTCAAATATGTATGGCTTTAAATGATCAAGTAACAAAAAGAATGACTTGAAGATAGATCATTTTAGGAAAGGGTTTAGACGCTGTAGTATCTTAGAGATGACTGGGAAAAAAGCCAAGAATCACTGCATGAGATAACAGCACTTATAAACGTTGACAGTGGAAGGTGCACTAATGTAGTATTTTTCAATGGAGACCCTAGATCCAAAAAGATTCCCCAGGCTTATCGATTCAAAGTCGCTGGGGCCCAAGCCATCCGCATTTTTAACAAGCATCGCAGTGATTCTTATGTATACAGACAGTGGAGCATTATTGCTCTAAAAAGCAATAGATTGCAAATGTTTAAAAGCACTGGGACATTTTCTCAAAACAAAAAAACCTCTTAGGCATAAGCCCACGACTAACAACAGTGGAGCTATTCTCACTGAGGTGTGGCTGCCCCCTCTCTCCAACCCAACACACCACCAGCTGGGAGTTTAAGAAACACACCTTGAACACCAATTTTCTAAAGCTGCTGTTTCCTCTAAGGTAGTGGTTCTCAACCTTGGTGTAACATCGCAATAAGACAGGCAGATTTAAAAGAAATACTGATGCCTGGGTCCCACTCCCCTCCCTTGGAAATTCTAATCAGTCTGGGGTGTGGCCTCTTCCCAGATGTTACTAATGTTCAACCTAGTTTGAGAATTGGTTCCTGTCCTTTCTGTGTAAGTTATTAGATACTCCTTTAACCTCTTTATTTCCCTTTACCTCGGCTGATTACCTGTGGTGAATAAGTGAAGAAACAGAACCTATTGTATTAAGTGAATTGTTATCAGCAACTGTCAGCTCAGATGCCAAACGGATGGATGAGTGGTGAGGGTGAGGGAAGAACCAAATGGTTTGCAGTTTTTATTGCTTCCAGGCAATAAAGATGATGATGACTCCATGAAGATGGCGAAGATGATTCCACGACCCCAAGGTCAAGTTTCAACCAACAGGATTGCAAGGAAAGGAGGTGTGCTGTGGAAAGCCGGGACTCTGGGTGCGAGGTGTTATGAAGGAGGTGTCAATCAGGAAAAGTGCAGGAACGACTTCATTTCCTTAGCATCAGGGTAATAATAAACTAAACACAATAAACTTTAAAATACATTTCCATTTTTAATTTAAAAAATAAATAACAGCAAATCTGAACAAAATTTTTCTGCTTCAATGCACATCTTCCTAACTGTCCATGTTTGAAACCCAACTAGTTTACAAAATCATGGCAACAGAGTTTTTGACAAAGTTTGGATGAACAACTCACAAAATTTGACTAATAGATGAGTTTGGGCAGCGTATATTGCAGCTCAGTTTTGACTAGATCATAAGAATCAGCCTAAAATCATCAACTTGGAAGGAAAACTTTTTTCTTCTATAGATTAGAACCGAAGGTTCCACTCTCAACCTACCAGAAGAGGAACTTACCTTTTCTGACTTAATTTTAAAACTCCACTTGGTCATGGTGCACAGACCTAGAAGGCTTTGTTCCGGAACTTAGTTTCCTTCTGACTCTTTTTCATTCACTTAGAACAAAAGAAAGCTAGGGCTGAAAGGATTCTGAAAATCACGAAGCCTCAAATATTATGTATACATATTCACATGAGGAAACTGAGGCCCAGGGACTGACTACAAATTGACTTGCCAAAAGGTACACAGTCTTTATGGTCTTGTTTTGTGTTGACGGTGGGGTTTTTCTCCCCTTTTCATTATACCCGAGAAGTGAGGGAAGGAAGGCACAAATGTGCAGGGCCTGGTTCTAAATACCTTTTACAAAATGCCACATGGACATGAGAGGTGCTGGAAGTAGTGTTCGTCTGGATCTGAGAGGTGGTGACAGGAGTGCATACGTATGTAAATTTCATCCATCTGTGCACCTAAGATTTGTGCCTTTAACTGTATGTAAGTTACGTCTCAATTTAAAACAAGAAATCATCCCATGATCTGGGGGCAAGCAGAGGGGAGAGTGAACAAAGGTAGATTGTTATCTGAAATCCTGGTTTATCTCTGGTTTCTTCTTAGGAGTCTGCAGTGTGGCAGCAGTTTTCAGTGGGTCTCCCCGGCAGGAGAAAATGACCACAATTCTGGAATCAAGGTGGGAAGGTGGAGGAGGAGGCAACCCAGGGCCCAGCAGCCCTGGTTGCTTAGGGTTATTTAGGGTTCCCTTTTCCTCTAATACCACTCTCTTGCCAATCCCACAGCACACCACAGTCTTTGTACACCAGGGCTCTTTCCATTGAACACACTGAACTGTCACATCCTGGGGGTCTAGTACAGTGTCTGGCATTCAGTAAGAGCTTAATATACGTTGAATGAAACAATTCTTGAAAAAAATCGCAAAGTAAGACAAGTCACAAGGACAGAGAAAGAGAAAAAAAGAGACTAAAAGAAAAATTCCATAAACCAATATCCACAAAGGTTGCGACAATTTGGAGGCTACTTTCAATGTCTTGCAATATTCCAGAATTTTTATCAAAGAAAATAAAAACCAGTTCTTCTCATTGTATTCCCTGTCCCTCATCTCTCATATATTTAAGGTGATCATAAGGCATTTCTTTGTAGTCTTCCTCTTTGACTTCAGGACAGACAGTATTTATGATCTTTTGTCAAATATGACTCTTCCTGACCCAGTGCCTTCCCAAGGAGATGAACCTTCCAATGTCCCCTATAATTTATTATTCACAACATTACCTGGAATCCTTTGAATTCAGGCAGCAGAGACCTAGTATGCCCATTAATGTGCAAAGGGA